CACGAGCGAGTGAGAGCAGGGAGAGACAGATAGAGAGAAGAGGAGAAAGAGAAACGCCAAGAGAGGAAACAGAAAACGAGAGGGGGCAGAGAGAGAGAGAGAGAGAGAGAGAGAGGGAGAAGAGGGAGAACCGAGAGGCGCATTTATTATGGAGAAAGAGAGAAGACGGGAAGCGCGCGGTATACAAGCGGCAGCCAATCTCCCCCACCGTCCTGCTTGTTTATTTAAATAATGCATAGAGGGGGGTGTTCGAGCCTGGAAATGGATGAACTACAAAGCCCCCGAAATCCGCTACGAGGAAAGTGGCACGCTCGCAAGAGCCGCTCTTGCGACAACGGAGGGATTCCACCTGTCACATGCTCGCAACACGCCGAGCGCCGCTTTTCAGGGAGTCGCCCTCGCCGCGCTTTTTCGGCTTTCACGAGAAGGACAACTGAGGAACGCGTTGTCCCTAAGCGCCGTTTTTACCGAGAAGTTTAACTTTAGACTCGCCCACCTCTCGAGTCGCGCGCTTTCTCATGTTACTCTCGCATATTTACTCTACGCATTTGAAGCAAAAGACGAGTTCGCCCGGTCTTTCGCTTCGGGAAAGGAGGGAGGCGACAGAGAAGGAGATAGAGAACGTGGGAAGAAATAAAAGTACGAATTACTTCGCTCGAAATTACGCTGAGAGGAGGGAGGTTCGCAACTTTTCGTGCGTTGGCGTTTCAGCGTAGCCGAGAACGCGGAACTTTTCAGCGTTCGAATGAAAAGCGGAGCAAGAAACGGGGGTAGAAAGGTCGGCGATGAGACAGGAACGGGGAAGGAACGAGGGAGGGGGGAGGGGGGGCACGAATCAATCGCTCCTGCTGTCTCGAGGTAGCCTCTTCTTTATAAATGAGCGGGGCAGAGGAGTGCGGAAGCTGCAGTTCAGATATTCACTGGTTGATTACCGTCCCGGCGGAGCCGACTACGGCGCAGGGAAATCCCCCGGGGAGGACGCTAACTCGACAACTGACAAATTAGCCCGGCGCACCGACGACACTTGCAAAATAGGTCGACAAGAAGACGCCCCCGTTTCGGGTTTGAATTCGACGCCCGCCAGATGAGGATTCGCAGCCAGTCGTCGAACTCAATTTTACTCGTCGACAGGGTGAACGATGCGCCGGCGGACTCCGGTTATCGGTCACACGAGATTAACCCTAAATCCAGGATGTGGCGCGATTAATCGACGCCCAGCACTGGATCGCCTGGATCGCGCGGCGCGATTTTCATATTGAAACACTCTGAAATTTTCCGGCCAAGTGCACACCTTATTGACTATCTGTCATATGATGTCACGCGTGATTTAAATTTGATCTACAATGTGTTCTTTTGCTTTCTGTTTCTTGTTCACTATCTTTTTCTGGCTAAAGTTCAAAAAATTAAGTCAGAAAAAGAAGAAAACAGGAAACACATTGCAGATTAAGCTTTAGTGGTTACACGTAGGCGACACGATGCTCGGGAAATTTCTTATCGCGAAGAACGATTCCTTAAAATATTCAAAACCGATCGTGGCTCGCTTGAAAATCGACGAGAATCAAAACTGACGTTTCTCAGGGTCGGAGCGAGTTTGCGATTCCGCGGAGTGGTTCCTTCGGCCCAGGAAATTCCTCATTGAAGAGGCTAAGTGAATTGGAAATAAAAAAGCGCTCAGCCGGGCGAATAATCGTCCGATGGCGACGTTCGCTGGGGGTGACGTCGCGCCGGCAATACTTTTCACATCGCCCATCAAGAGGTAGGGGGATTGTTATTCGTGCGGCGTAGTGCCTCGGTGTCGCTTTCACTAGAGTCGGTTACTGATAAACGAGCGGTTTCAACCCCACGCGTCGCCCCCTGAATGTAAACTCACCCTGCCTGCCTGCTTGCCTGCCTGCCCGCCGACGCGCTTTAAGCTCTTAGCGCGGGTAAACGCTCGGTGTAAATCGTTTCCGAACGTAAACGATTGTCGACGACAGACCCGAAATTAATCGTCGTGATTCCGGTCGCCGAATGACTGCAGCGAGACGATGCTGTCGCGCGCTTTACGTGGGAATAAATTCGTAAACGTCACGACTAATCACCAGCAAATAGATGCATATAAAAAATAAGGATAATTTTCCGTAATTACTTCAAAAGATATATAGTAAATTTGGGCTTTTATAATCATGAAAAAAATTGCTTACCAATTAATTTTCTCAAACGAAACAATTTACCGATGAGAGCTATTTTTCTACAGCGCGTGTAGAGACCTCCACACACGGAAGAATAAAAAGTACAGACAGTAGTGATATTCTCCATAATTATTTCGCAACGCAAATTGTAAATTAGCATAACTCTGTGACTACGGGTAAGATTAATTATACATTAATGAATTTTCTCAAACGAAATAATGCTTACTGATGAGATACAAAGTTTTTTTCTATTACGCAGAGATCACCACAATAACACACAAACGATGAAAAATGCATGGGCAATAATATTTTTCGCAATTATCTCAAAACGTGGATCGCAAACTTTGATTGATATGACCACCGAAAAAAATAATTGGTTCTCTCAAACGAAACAACTTACCGTCAAGGTGCAGAAATTATCTGTTCAGTTGAGAAGTTATCTGTCTATGACGCGCGGGGATCTTTACGATGACGCATGGAAGATACGGCAAGGTATAAGCCCATCTTATCACCCGAACCATTCCCCGGCAATCCGCGATAACATTCGTCTACGACGGAGCGGGATTTATGAGCGGCGGGGCGCGGGGAAGATGTCGTAGGCGACGAATCGCACGACAAAACCCAACGGCGTGCGGCCCGTACGTGAGCGGCGGCCAAAGGTGGAACGTCACGTTCTCGCGCGGGACCTCCGGGGAACGATGTCTCAAACGACCACGTGGGACCACGAGACGCACCTGCACAAATTCCAACACCGGGAAAAGTGCTGTCCCGTCGTTGCCGTCGATGAGAATCCGCCGGGACGAAACCTTCCCGGGAGTGGCGTGCGCGCACGTACACGTCCGCGTACACGCGCCCGGCGAAACGATAAGTTTGTCATAGCCAATTTATACAATTGGCACGGCACAACGCGACACCCGCTCTATTCGACGCTGGGGACCCACGAATTTATGGCTAATGTGCCGCTACGTCTCTCGGTCACGTCCCCTTCCTCAGTTATAGTGCCGCTTTAATTCCGCCTTCGCTCGCGCCAAGATAAATGTTAATACGCGCCGCGTAACCGACAAAATACGAGTATTCGGAGAAACGGAGCCGAAATTTCGTGCGGCTGATGCAGTCGCAGGTAAGCTACGCGAACACGTGTTGAATAAATGTTATTCATCCCCCAAATCGCTTAACACTTGTCAACAGAGGTTCCAACATTTTTTAACCCTACAGTCGTCACATGGGGTTTTTAAAATAATATCATATCCAAAATAGTCTTTTCTAATATTTTATATGAACCCAAAAACCTAATTAAACAAAGGAAATATTTAAGTTCTCAGCATAAAAGATATAAAATAATTTTTTATATTGGGGTCTCTCAAAATCCCATGCGTCGACTCGTGTTCGAAAAGTAGCGCGACGACTGTAGGATTAAGGATCTGTGTACTCTTATGTGATTAATATCATAATTTTTTCTAATTCTTCACTTCGTCAAAAAAATGATAATAAGTCTGACTAAAATAACTAATTAATTGAAAGATATGTGTAACAAAAAGAGAAAGAATATTTCTAAATGATTTACAAGTTGACTGATTGTTAATCGAGATCGCGTTTGATATCGAGATGTTTTGATCGCACGATAGACAGCATATCAAAGCAGATGTTCACCCTCCGTGCCGTTGCTTTGCTTGCATTGTGGCGAACGATTGGTATTCAGGCCGGCAGATCCCTTGGATTCATGTAACAGCATCGGGGACATGTGTCAGCTAGAGACGATTGGAGTAGTGAGGGTCGGAAATGGCTGTTTAAAATTGCATCGAGGGCCTACCGTTAAGGGCACGTGCGCTTTTTAATGTCCCGACGAATGCTTACGATAATGTCCTTTAAGCTTTTATTAACGGTTATCAGGATACGTGGCCCGAATGGCCATGGCCATTCTCACGCGACAGCCAACCTCGATCCTTTACCCGCGATATCCTGGTCCGAAAAGAACCCTCTCGTCCTTTCCCCTCACCGATCGAAGTTACATGTCGCGATAAGGCTTGAATTATTTTCGGAATTTCGAGACGAAACGTATCATTTTCTATCAGCCTCATCTCAGAGTTACCGTCTTTCTCTGTCAATCTAATAATTAGGGTGAATATATTAGAGTAATCAGCAAATGAAAAGATAATCGAGTGGACGATGTTCTCTTCCCGTGGTCTGCGTGACACCGGTAAAATACATTGACGCGTGCGACCTTCCCGCTCATCTCTGGATCCATTATGGCATTAACGGTGTGCCGGAGGGTCCAGTTCCCGCGGGAGAAAAACTTTTGCCAATGATTAACCGAAGTCGTTTCGTGACTTTGATGAGTCGGCAAAACTCGCCTCGGTAGATTTGTTAAGAATAATTAAGACCCGTCGCGTCCGACGTTACGAGGTCGTATTTGCAACCGCGAGTTATGTCGTGTCACTTTTCCGAACGATTTCTTGGTAATCCTCGATCAAAAAAAGACATTGTTAAGTTCGGTTCGATATTCTATCCTTTTCGAGATGTAAAACGATACATTTTTACGAATGTTCGCGAAAGATTACTGAGTTGGTAAATAATTTATTTCCTTAAAATCCAACAAAGTGAAATTTTATAAAAGAAACCGAACCAAACTTTGTTTTTCTTTTTTTTATTTAAAAGTTAAGAGGATGCCATACTTGAAGACTTTATTAACAAAATTTACTGATTGCTCAGAATTACGAATACTTTTATATAATAAGAGTACGTATAGGGATTATCGGAGTACTCCTCGATGAAAGCGATACAAAATTTCAAAATTAACATGTGAGCTAATGTAAAAATATTTGTCTGATATAAAGGTCTTGCAAGTTGCACAATCTGAACGTGTATTTGATGAGCTCAGAAAAATTGCATAGAACATTATTGTGTCTTTGCAGACTTTACAAACTTCAAAATATACGGAAAGTTTAACAGCAAAGAAAGCAGAAAAACGTTCTCCCAAAATGTGCTCGCGACAACAATACACTATGAGGTACGCAACTAATAGTGCCGCTTCTCGCACACGCGCACGTCGGTTGTACAAAAATACGAAAAGGATAGCGTGAAGATCGTTTCTACGTTACCGGCATTCTTGAAATTCGTCACCACTTTTTGGCATCCCCTTAAGATAAATATTTCACTGTTTCACTAGTATTCCTAGTGACTTCATGAAAACCCGATAACGACTCCGGGCATCGTCACGTCGCGTCCACTCGCTCTTTTTATTCAGAGACAAATGAAGTGTCCCTCGCGCGCGCACGCGTGATAGAACTGACAAGGAAGCAGGCAAACGGCCCTGGTGAAAGACAGTCCGACGACAGTTTGTTAATAACATCCTTAGGCAACGAGATTCGGCAAAAACCAACGTCAAAATACAACCGGTATAACCTACACGAGCGTTCGTTTCCTCTCTGAACACGATGCTACGACGACAACGTGACTCGGCCGGTGTCCTACGAGGACTGTTCAACGTCAAGTCCCGAAACTTACCCGCCGGTCAGTCGTCACAAATATCACAGATAGCAGAATAAGATATCTCGAGAACGCGAATCATTTGCGAACAACAACGACATTTCTTCACGTGATGTTCGTGTTAACGCAGCGGCCGTCTTGCGTGCGGATGGAAAGACGGTGGTTCGCGAACGAGAAGGACTCCTCGGCTGGCTGAAGGGCATTTTCAACAGAGCCGCGGACAAGTCGAACGGTGACGTTACTTTTTGCGCATCACGAAAGCGCGAATATCGGCTGCGTCGACGATATATCGCGTGACTTGAATTATCGCTGAAATAACATGTTGCAGAAGATAGAGCAAGCCACGAGGTCGCCGCAGCGTTGCAGCAGCGCGATCACCCAGAAATAGCGGTTGCCGAGGTGGATCGCAAAGTCGACGTCGTTAATCAAAAACTGAACAACTTCGGCGCGGCGGAATCGACGACGGAGCGGGGGGATAGGAAGTTCCGTTCCGTCGGGCAGCGCAACGCGGACGAGCGCGGGCGCGCGGTTCAACAGTTGGCGATTTATGTCGAGTCGCCGAGTGGCGTCAACTTGAAGGAGAAGCGGAGAAGCAGGCAGGCCCCCGAACGCGGAAGCGACTCGCTCCGCTCCTCTTCGCGGCTCGCACTTCCCGACAAGCTTCATCGAGCGGAGAGAATCGGCGCGATCGAGTTTGCGGCGAGGGACGATCCCGACGTGGCCGCACATTATCGCTGTTACACGGGCCCGAGACACTGTTATCGCCTGCCACCGCCGCCGCCGCGGACGAGACAGCCGCCTCTTCTTCTGGCCACGTACGGGCCGAATAGAAACATCAGCGTGCCGACGCGCGCGATCGCGGCTTGCGCTGCCAAGCACTCCAAGCCGCCCATCAGGGAGCCGAACATGCCCGAAAAGCGCGAGAGGAAGGACGAGAAGAAGCGGGACAAGAAGGAGCCGGTAATACGTACGGAGCGCGAATCCATCGATAGTAGCGAGAGCCGAGCGGCGATGGTAGCGGAAGATAACCCGACCGGCGACCCCGACGCGCCGTTTCGTTACGAGTGGGGCGTGAAACTCGCTGAGGAAGAACCGGCCGAAGCGAGCGATAACGATAACTTGGCCGAAAAGGGCCGGCGATACGTCACGAAGCGGCTTTGGGGAGTGAACCTGACGCACCCGGATGTCGAAGGTGCCGCGCCGCCGACGTCCGACAGTCCCGGGAGTGGCGCGCATCGAAACGCCTCCCGGGACTTCGAGAGCGAGGATACCGCGGCGGAGGCTGGGAAGACGAAAGTTCCACCGAACAGGGCTACGGCGAACGAGCAGGTCGAGTCGAGCTGGAGAGCTAAGGACGAGAAGTCCCTCCCGACTTGGACCGACTCGTCTTCGGCGAGCGGGGATTCCGTCACGTCGCAGCGGGATACGAGCGAAGTGAGTTTACCGAGTTCGCAAGCGCTCAGGAAGATCATGAGAGCGGTGCCGGGTGTGTCAAGGGAGGCGGTCGTGCTCGATGACGACTACAACGCGCCGCAGGAAGCGGCCCGGGACGCCGAGATCTCCGCTTGGCGGAGTCTCGCGTCGAAATCGAAGCCGGCCATGCTCGCCATCTTGTCGGCCACGCGGCCAGAGCAGCTGGAGAGGGTGTCCATTCGCCCGGAGGCGCCGCAGCCGAAATTGGACGTGCGAATGGTGAGGTCTGTCGAGGACATCACGGAGGGCAATAAGGACGAGCAGTCTGCCGGATTCAAGCTGAGCTCCATGGGCCTCAGGCGCGTCGGACTCATGGAGACGCCGAGTCTGGACGATTTCTCGCCCAGCAAGAAACTGCACACAAGCGCGCAGATTCATCGCGACATCGCCCGACGAGGCATCGGATCGCTTCCAGCAGACCCTGCTCCTGCCAGCGAAAATACGCAAAGAAAGGACTCGAATTCCGAGGGTTCCGCGGAAGAGAAAGTGAGCGACGTATCGAATTGGCAGGATAGACAACAGACCGACTCGGGAAGCCTCAACGAGGAGAGGTCGAGCAGTCCCGATCCGAGTGACTTGTTAGGAAGCACCGAGCAGATTCTTTCATCCGCGAAAGTTCAAACGAGTGGCGATCAGAAGCAACTGGACGTTGAGGCCGAAATCAGCGAGATCACGAACACTATCGCGGACGAGGAGACAGAGATTTCCACGAGGCAATCCCAGAATGCCGATCGCGAAAGTGCTGATCGCATGGTGACTTCTACGACGGAGGAATCTCGCGCCGAGGACAAGAGCACTGGCAGCGAAATTGAAAGTCATGAATATTCTCACTCAAACTACAATTGCAGGGACTCCTACGACGTGGACCAGCACGCCGACAGCGAGCCGACGAAATCGCACGAGGTTGGATCGGCCGGAGAGGCCGCGGAATCTATCTTCGCAAGCGCTAAAAATACCGTTCTCGATTCCAACGCAGAAGATGCGAATGACGACGACTTCGGCGAACAGTACGTCACCGACGGCGATTACGCGCGGATACCCGGCGATCCCTATCCGTACAGTAAGGAGAACCTGGCCAAATGGAGGATGCCGGCGTCCAGGAGTCTGTTCTACGCGCCGATCAAGCGACAAACCGTCCTCTCCGGACTTGCCTGCGATCGGTCAAGCCCGCGGAACGCTAACGACATGTATGCCAACGCCGCCGGGCAATCGTACGGTTCTCACGCCGTTGGAACGGTAATGGAGACTTCAGGAAGCGGCGACGGCGCGATGGGCGCAAAAAACGTGGGACTCGCGAGCGGATTCCGCGATTCCTCGCGCGACCAGCGGGTGGTGGCGCCTGATTGCGACGCCGTGGACGGGCTGCGAGGATGGACGGAGGCTTTCTCGAGGCTCGACAACGCCGCCGCGACCGCGAGCGGGAAAACGAACGAGGCGGAGCGAGGCGACAACGCGTCGTTGCGCGCGTATCATCAGTAGAGGCTACGCTGCGAATTCGCGACGTAACTTCCGGTGAGCGTTCACCCCGAGCGAGCGAGTGAGCGAGCAAGCGAGCGAGCGCCTTTGCATAATTCAGTTCTCTCGGTTAATTAGGACGGGCTCGTTGGCCGCGCGACGTAACGAGCGAGGGTTCCGCGAACTTTAATCCCAGATTGCGTACCGTTTCCGCCCGCTCCCGTCGTTGACGCTCAAACGCGCCGAGCGCAAACGCAACTCTGACGCCTCCTTTTGCGACTAAAGACATGAGGCCTTTTTCGAAGAACTTCCTGAACTAGTGTACATTGGTGCTATCAGTAAGAGCGAGACATAGTATACTTGTTTCGCCCTAGCTTATTGCATCAGTGTACACCAGCTTAGAAAGTTCTTCGAACAGACCTATTATGTCGGTGTACACTTGGTTACTAAACGGTAGCCATATATTTTCTGATCGTCACAATTGAGAGACACTGCAGATGCGTTCGCGCTGTAATTAATTAATAAAGAGATGTATTTAAACCTTCAAAGTCCACAAGTTCGTAATTTAAATAACAACATTTGAATATTATATTAATCAAATTTATTTTCACACGCTCTACTGTCATTTCGACTCCTGTCTGATAACTGATTCCAGCGCGAACGCGTCAGCAGGTCTCTTAATTTGTGATAACCAAGTGCGGTGCAGTTTCATTCGGAAGAATGCGTCTGTACCGCAATTTTCTTACCGAGACAAATAAGCGAGTGACCGATTATCCGCAAATACGCATGATTTTTCAGATTTCGACACAAGAAGCCTGGCAAGTAGCTACGAAATTTACAAGTGGGTCCGACTGTGACTCAAAATTGCGGAAATGGTCTTACATTGACGAAGAGCACGAGACGTGATGAGAAACGTGCGATTTTTTCGCTGTTTTGTACATTTTACGATAATTCCCGTTTTGCAATAAATCATTATCAACAATTGCATCTAATGTGAACTAACTGGCGTTTCCATTTTCATTTTGTCGAGTCGCGGGAATTACAGAAGAGTATTCCGTTATCATTCAAATCCCGATCTATCCGCGGACACGGTGCACAAACATTCACTTCCACCGGTCCGTCCGTCCGGCTTGGCTTCCTCGACGAGAGAGACCGAGCGCGTCCTCCGCCTCCTGAAATTATTCTCCACTCCCATAAACACGTTCGCCTTCTCGCGCTTACGATTAAAAGCGGATAGGGAATCGAGCCGTATCCACGAAATTACCGTATACGGCGCGCGGTTAGCTCGCCTTAAGAGCTTTTTTGATCCCCGGGACGATCGGGCATTAATCCCCCGGCCGACGCACCTGTCGAGAAACGGCAGCAGCGGGAGGAAAGAAGAGAAAGAGGAGGTAGGAGGATAAGGTTGGAGAACGACCGGCTAGGTCGTTCAATCAGACACGTGTACTTATACGCGTACATCCCGCGTGCATCCCGCACCACGAACTCTCTTCTTCGGGCGAACTATCGACCCGCCGCCAGGAGAGGATATGCGTGCCTACCGGTCACGAACGCGGCCGTTCTCCCGCCCGGAGGCTGTTATTTGACCACCGGCGAGATCTCCGAATCGTCGACCCTCTATCTAATCATTCAAATCGCAGGCGTCCTGCCGGTCTAATCGGCGGTGTGTGTACGCACGCGGTCGCCGCCACGTCGCGTCCGGTATTCCTCTTCGTTGAGAGGATTGCCAAAGACAGAGTCTTCCGCGGGAGAGACAGAGAGGGAAAGAGAGAGAGCGGGAGAACGGAAGAGCGAGAGAGCGAGAGAGATAGAGACTCCAGGTACCAACACTATCGTCGCTGCCACCGCCGCCACGATTCCGGAGGCAACGGCGGCGGCTACCATCGCCGATAATACCCTCCGGTAATGGCAGACCCCGTGGCCCTGATTACCTTCGCGCTGCCAGAAAACACGCGGACGTAGTTTAGCCTCGGTTTACGGCAGCTGGCCATACCGTGCGTGCCACTTTCTTGACCGGCCGATCAATCGATCGATCGCTCGCTCGCTCACTCACTCACTCGCTCGCTCGCCCGCTGATCTTACTGTCATTCGCTCCTGCGGACGTCCCGCGTGTTCCTCCGCGGGTGTCGCGCGCATCTAACGGGTATGAGCAACCGGAGTTGGAAACTGCTGAGCGACTCGATTTCGTTTCGCTAGACGATCGCGGGACAGTCGGAATTTTCGTTGAATCTCGAAGATCAACCTGACTAAGAGATTATGATTCTAGTTCCCTGAACTCTTTTTTAGAGAGGTAAGTACCCTTAAACTTACGTCTTTTGATCGACTCATAAACGCACTTAGAGACGCATTCATCGATGGAAGAGAGTTTAAAACGAAAACCCTTGATTTCATTCTTGGAAATATACGATTTTCGGCATAATTGTTGGATTTACTTGCTTAGTAAATCCAAAAGGTTCAGTCGCTTTTAAGTTTTGTTTTATCGTCTTTTTTTTATTTAGAGGACGTGTGCAAAAATATGTTTCTTCGGAATTCTCATCAATGGTTCAGCACGCTTCCTAACATCCTCTATCGCGAAACAATCGATCGTTCTTCGAATTCCCGAGAAGATACGAACATTCCGTGTTGGGTAACGAACGGATGCAGCGTGACGACGAGGCCGAGCGGGATTGGCATTGGTAGCAGAGACGCTTTTATTTACGACTAGAATCCGTTGACTGCTCCGGGTTCGCTCGCTCCTCCTTGACCCTCTCCTCTCGTTCTCGGGGTTAGAACGATCCTATCTCCGCGAGACGCAGCCGCGGAGATCATTCCCTTCGGGGTCTTCTGCACTATAAAAGATCGCCCTATGCTTGTATATTACTCACGCCACCGTGTTTTCACTTGGCGCGGCGATCGGCGCCGATATCATAACTCCTTGTCGTACCGCCGTTCAAGCAGCAAATCCGCCTGGCGACGAGGCCTCCTCCTGGTAGCGATAGCAATTCCGATACGACCGGCAGCCGTTGTAAGACGACGACGAACATCATCCCTGGATGAAACGAAACTCTCGTCGGCGAGTCTCGACCGCCGGCCTTATCGCGCCCTTATAGTGTGACGAATTCTACGCGTTTCGCGGTCCTCGCGTCTTTTTCACGCGCGCTGCAACTATTCTCTAAACTACAATCAATGTATTCTTCACTAAAGGGCTCTACACTAACAACTGGTAGTTCAGTTAAAAGCATAGAGCATCTCTATACTTCGTCTATAGAATTTTATAATATTACAATCAATAAAAACATCTTTCTGAAAGAATCAGTCAATAATAGCGACTGTTCCTGCAATTAATTAATGCAATTTGCAAATACAGACAGTGTCATTGCACGCGAATCGTATGGAAACTGGTAATTCAATCGTTGGAAACGCAGAAAGTTGGACACAATGTAGGATAAACGTGGATGTGATGGCCATACGGAAAGGATGGCCATAGGCTGTAATTTCTCCAATAATTGCTAAAATAGTGCGCTTTCGTAATTACTCTCAAAGATAATCGATACCTACAACAATTTATGTACGTATACTTAGATGTTAAAACGTACTATTTAGCAATTATTGGAGAAATTATAGCTTATGGCCATCTTTTACATATGGCCATCATATCTGAGTTTACCCTGTAACGAATTTATGGTATTGCAATGAAATTTGTTTTCTACTGGTCAAGATCAGTGATGATACAAGACGTAGCAAAATATAGGAGCTTTTTGGCGGAAACGGAAATCAGTGAATATTCCCTGATTATCGACGAGATGCTCCTTTTGCTGATTCAATCGAAAACATTTTCACTAATTTATCTTAAGAGAGTATCAGCAGTTTTGCGTGTCGCCGATTTATTAGAACTTTGTATACTAATGATAACTCACGGGTTTTCGATTTTTTATAAAATTCCGCTGAGGAAGTATTTGCGATGAAATTTCCCGGTCGCGTCGTATCGGCGTTATTTCCCGATAGAGGTGGGATACTTCATTAGTCCCCGAAACGAGAATATGTTGGCCGTGGAGATTGATCGGATGTTCGAAGCTAACATACGCGCGCATGATGAAATTACGCCTGTGCTCTCGACCCGCGTAAACCTACTTTATTCGCCGGCCGAAGCGACGATTTGCGGTCTCGCGGAAAATTCGCGCTCCGGTTGCAAAACGCTCATAAATACGTCCCGGCGCTTCCGGTAATCGAAGGTCACCGTGGCGACTGAGAATTCCACATCAGCGCCGTGGCCTCTCGTGCCGAGCGATGATCCGGGAGACGTTGCGACCATCCGCGGTATCTCCGGGACACCGAAATAGATGGTTTACTGCCTCCCTTAAATACGTCAACGTTTATGTGTGGATTCCCGAAAGTAAATCGACGAGGAATGTTTTCGTACGACGCCGGCCCCGTCACGAGCTGAGGCCAACTTAAACGCCGAGGAGGAGCCGAGGGATGATGCCCGCAAACCGGCGAAATCGCCCGTTATATTATTAATAACGCGAGAAGAGCGTCTTTGTTTACGATGTCACGGGCTTTTACACGTGCGGGATTTTATGATATATCGACGTGGCCGGTTCGTTTTGGCTTCTACCTATCTATCTCTTTTTACCTTTTAGTTGTTTTATTTTTTTTTTGCAATTAAGCTTTTGTGATCTTTTAGTGAGAGGACTATGTTCCAATAAGACGCCAATAAACAATTTTTTCTCTCTCTTTCTCTCTCTATACTATATATTATAATCTAATACTTTCCTTATACAACATTAAATTTCACTTTTATATACAATTTCTTTATAGTATGTTTAATTTTTAGTATTTTCTCTTAATTTTTATAAATTCTTTATTTAATATATCGCAAAAAGCTTCTTATATATATCTATCTTATGTACGCTCTTAGAAGGCAAGCCTCTAAATAATAACGCAATTATTTTTCCTTCTTTCTGCAAGAGCAGCTCGTCTCTTGAACAACATTGTACCGCAATTATACGTCGATGTTATCTAAAATTAGGAATGAAGAGCACACAAACTTTCCATACATATAATCAGCTTTTTCATATCAAATTCAACGACAACAAATTTTCCCTATAAAAAGGATATATATATATATATATATATATATATATATATATATATATATATATATATATATCTCCGCTACATGGAATGTAACCAATCTCGCGTAACGACTGTTTTCGAAATTTCCACCGTAGCGGAAAGCCGGAGGCAGCCCCGGGCGATAAAGCGAGGGTTGAATAACGAGTGTGTCGCCCACCGTGCACCGGCTGGATCCCGCGGAGCGGGACGAGGCGGCGATTCCGCTCGAGTGTTCGCGCCTCAGGCGCAAGTCACCCCGCGATCGTTCGCCGCAGAAAGCGTGGCCCGTAGTGACACCACAAAAAATCACGGCGCCGCTTTCCGGCCGGATATCTTTCAATTACCCGTTAATATGATAGGCGGCGGGCGTAGTTGCAAGTCACCGCCGCGTCGTTGCCCGCAGGGTGTGCGCACACGATATACGTATGTACACACCATACACACACATATACACACAATCTCTCGCGCATCCACGAGTGCACACATGCACACGATTGGGCCCGGCTGATGTGTGTGCGTGTGTGATTAATCGACGTCAACCGCAGACCGCGGCGTGAACCTCGTCGAGGGAATCGCCGGCGATCCGTTGACACGTCGATTCGCGGTTTACGCGCGCCGAAATACCCGCTGCGTCGCGTCGACGAAATTTATGCGCGCGCGAAGATCGCCGAATGTTTGCGTAGCCGCGAGGCGGCGGTTAAACGTGGTTACAATATCGCCACGGCACGTTGTAGCCTAATCGCGTCCTGGTAGACGGCCAAGTCCGCCTTCTGCGCGGAGTGTTTTCCGATATGATATCATAGGGTCGCACAAAGTGAGAAGTCCGCGCACACGTGATATCTTTTGGCGAGTCGCGGATGTCGACTCGATTTTACGGCGACCGCGTGACGCGACTGAGAAAACTAACACGCGGGAAGCGACGGAAAC